GGATGGCAAAGTGGGCTTAGATTTTCACAAGTCAAACAAGAATTCCGGGAGCTGGGTGAAGACATATCTTGGCCATGGCGGAGATCCCACCGACCCTTCTTCCATCAATGGAGTATCCTACACTGAGCATGTGGCCTTCCTTGTGATGTGGTTGTGCAAGTTCTTGGCATGCCCAAAATCCGGCGGGATCACAAAGGAATTTCAAGCCTTGGCGGAGGTACTTGCGGATGGCCATCAAGTGGCCATGGGCCCAATATTTCTTGCCTATCTTTATAGAGGGCTCCGTGAGGTAACCACTAAACCCATGGATTATCATGCTTCTGGCCCTATATGGATTTTTCAATTATGGCTCCAGCTATATTTTCCGGAGTTAAGTCCCACCACCATTTGCCCAAATGATAAAGCACTTTTGGGTCCGCCTTTGCTCAACGCCCCACGGCGGAAGCATTTTGTGGAGGATTGCTTCCGCTTTTTCTATGAGTGCCAGGAGAGGGCTAGGGAGCATCTCTCCATTTGCCTTGATCACCATTTCCCGGATTATCTAGCCCTGGATCTTTCCTCATATCCCACGGCGGAGACGAAAGATGAGAGACATAATATGTGGGCGAGCATCCTCATCAGCCGAGATCTTCCATGCGGCCTAATGGTGAACAAAGGTAGCAACTATCATTGTGGTGGTGAGATTTATTATCCCGCCGTTGCCGGCTACCAGCTTGGTTTTATACAGAGCATCCCTATACCACCCATGGATTCCGTCAACCTACTTTCCTCTTGGGGGGTGGAATTTAAGGATGCAAAAGAAGTCACCACTTTGACAGATTTCAACCAAGACTTGGTGAAATTCTACAGTATTCCGATTAGAGATCCTCGGTTTGGTGATTCTAACATTTTTATCCATTGGTGGAAAGAAATGTCGGCCGGTTGGTTTTCTCAACCATGCTCAGAGATTGATGATAGGATCTTCAGGCATTGCCCATGCTCATTGGTCTTTCAACAAGAGAAAGAGAAGAAGAAGGCCCAAGCAAAAGGTAAAATATTTGCCCTTTCTTCTTATTTTAATTTTTGGCTATCTTTCTTTTTCCTAACCCTTCAAATCTCATAGCTGACACCGCCAAGAAGGAAAATCCATCCGCCGACATTATTGAGAGAGAGAGCTTGGCTAAATCTGCCAATGCAAATTCTGGGCGGGGCGAGAAAAGGCCCAATGCCCCCATCCAAGGTAAGCTATCCTCCATGATTACTTTTGCCCTTTTAAATATTTGCACTTCTAGCTTTCTAAATTCTTGATGGGCATATTTAAAAGCTTAAAACTCCAAATTTTTAGGAGATAGCCCCGCCGGAAATATTTTGCCTTCTCAAACATTCCTTCGGCCCAGAAAAGTTCTGCGGAACCTCTCACCTCAAGGTTTGGCCGTGCACCTTTTTTTTTTTTTTTTTTTTTTTTTTTTTTTTTTTTTTCATGTGACTAAAATAAATAAGCTTTTTGCAGGTTCCCCAAAGCTAGCGGATCATCCTTCCTCTTCTCATTCGGTCGAGGCCGTGCAATCGGCCACCACTTCATCCGCCGCTCTGGTAAGCCTATATCTCTACATTCTTTCATTCATTTAATTTTGAAGGGCAAAAACTCACCCTTATGCCCAAAATTGTAGGAAACTCAACCTCCCACACTTGAGAAGGGAATTGGGGCACAAGTCATGACTTCGGTGGGCGAGGATGAGGTAAATCCATCTCCTTAGCCGTTTGAGTTTTCTTTTACTTCTTTTGTGCTTACTAAATTTTCGAACTTAGTCGGCTGAGATCACTATCACGGAGCACCCGGAGGATGTTTCCACGGGGTCACACGAGATTACACCCATGCCCGATGATCACGCCCATGAGCACGTGGCTGAGCTGACCGAGGAAGACTTCCCACATGTTCCGAATTCTCAGGTTCATTGAAATTTCATATTTTTAAAATTTCTTTTACACTTGCCCCCAATTTCTTATTTTCAATGTTTGCACATGTTAATGGGCCATTTTTGGTCCCAACCTTTCTTCGGCCGATGCCACAGCCACTGAGGCCGAATTTCAGCCCCTCTTTGCCATAAGTTCGGGCTTTCCCTTGACCTGCCCTCTCGAGGCGCCCCAAAGTGGCCCAACTTTTCAGGTGATATTACTTTCCCTTAATATTTTTTCAAAGCTTTATATTTGTTAGAGAGTTCACATCCTCCTTTTTTAGGCAGATGTGGTAGAGTCTACTGCCATTACATTGTGCCTTCCACTATTCCCACCGATGGAAGTGCACCACCTGAGCCGGTCCTTATGTCGACCTTGGGAGCTCTTACCTTGGTTGTCGATGCTATTCCGTCCGAACTCCAACTTGAGGTATGCCCCGAATTTTCTTGTTTATTTCAAATAAACGGGCCATTATTGTAATCCTTATACCCTTTTGCTAGATTGGCGAGTCTTCATCCTTTGTGCCTGCCCAGATTACCATGGATCTATCGGTGGAGGATGGAGGAAACTTGGCCACGGTCCCCCATGAAGAGGCCCCTCTACCATCCCTTGATCAGGTATGAAACAAGAAATACATACATATGCACATATGCAATTTATTTTCCTTACTTGAAATATAATGCCCATTTTTCTTGCAGCCCTCTAGTGATATTTTTGACTTCCTAGATCAGTGGGATACATCTATATCCTCCGCGGAGGCTTCCACTCGCCTTGCCACTTCTTCCACATTGACCGGGGCCCTACTAGATTCCGGGGCTGAGGCCATACTTCGGTCATACAGAAATGGAGACCTCATGTTCTTGGAGGACAAAGATGAGAGAAGCAAGCTCAAGGCCGCCATTGAGACTTTAGTGAGTTCTGGCTTTTTCCCTGATCCACGCTCGGCGGCTATGCTTACTCATCTCTTTGGTCAGGTGGAGAGATTTGTCCCCCGCCGCCGTCCTTTTCTAGAGGAGCAAAGGATAGGCCAAGACTTGGAGCAGCGGACTACCTCATGTAGTGCCACCATGAGGAGGGAGATCGAGATTGCCCGCCAAATGCAACAGGAGGCTGCGGATATCGATGAGCAGGTGAGGCAGCTTCAAGAAAGGAAGGCTGGCATTGTTGCCAAAGTCTCTGAGATTGTCCGGAGCAATAGGCCTCTCGAGGCTCAACTTCGACAGGATGCAACAGCGGCGGGAGCGTATCGAGAGAGGAAGTTGATGATTCAGTCTACCTTGTCCGCCGGAGATACTGCAATGGAGAGCTTTAGGACTGCCCTCCGCACCCTTTTCCCTGATGCTTAGGTTCATACTTGGCCATTGGTTGGCCCGTTTTGTATTTAGCTAGTTTTCTTTTATTCGGTCACCATATGTAGTAGAACTAGCTTATTTATTATTTCTTGAACCTTTGGTGGATGCTTAGGCCATTACTTGGCCCCATTTTGTAGTAGACTTTTGCCCACCTATATATATGTGATATCTTTTGGAAGAGATCCTTTTATGATGCCCACTCTTCCAATCAAAAAATCATTATTTTATTATGACATATTTCTTCGTGGCGGACTATCTCTCCGCCATTTCCCAAACTGTTGGGTAATATTTTTTCAAAAATCGACCATTGATCGGCGCGCCATGGACCCGACCATTTTGGTCACTTAACTTGTACGCCCCCTTTCCTAACAATTGGTGGACGAGAAATGGGCATTCCCAAGTTGGAGACCATTTGCCAAATTTTGGATCCTTTGATCCCACCGGAAGAATGGTCTTCCATACAAGATCTCCGGCCCCAAAACTCTTGGCCTTGGTCTTCTTATTGTACGCTCGAGCCATAGCCTCTTTTTGGGCCTTCAATCTATCTAAAGCCTCCAATCTGACCTCGTCTAGGTTGTCTAACTCTTGTGCTATGGCTTGCCCATATTCATCCTCACTCCATTCGACATGGCGAACCACCCTTAGAGACTTAACCGAAATCTCGAGTGGCAAGACGGCATCATGACCGTAAGTGAGGGCGAATGACGTTGTTTGCGTGGCAGACCTCTTCGAGGTTCTATACGCCCATAGAGAGTTGGAAAGAAGAGAGTGCCATTCCTTGGGATTTTTATCAATCATTTTTTCCAAAATCCCTTTTATCACCTTATTACTAGCCTCCGCTTGGGCATTTGATTGGGGATTGTATGGGGTGGATTGAACCATCCTAATTCCCCAATTTCTCGCGGTGGCTTGAACAGCCTAGCCCATGAACGCCGTTCCTCGGTCAGTCATGATGGACTCGGGCAAGCCAAATCGATGGATGATATTCTTCTCAATGAATTCTATCACCTCGACTTGAGTAACTTGTTTGAGTGGGACGGCCTCCACCCACTTTGTGAAAAAATCGGTGGCCACTAATATATACTTATGTCATTTAGTTGACTTTGGGTGGATTTTGCCAATCACATCCATCGCCCAGCCTTTGAAAGGCCAAGCCTTGACAATCGGATTCATTGGTCCGGGCGGAACATGTTGGATCGGCCCATGTCTTTAACAATCTTTGCAACCCTTAGCATATTCAATGCAATTGAGGATGGTCGGCCAATAATAGCCGTGCCTCCTTAAAAGCCACCTCATCCTGATGCCAGCTTGATGGGCACCGCATATCCCCTCGTGGACCTCGGTCATTGCTACGAGTTGTTCCTTTTTGCCCAAACATTTCATGAGCAAGTCATTGGAACCTATGCGGAATAAGACTTCATCCCTTATCACATAATATTGGGCCCTCCGCCGAATTTGTTGGCTATATGACCCATTTGGATTTTTCAAATACTGCATGATGTCGTGCCTCCAATCCTTCGGTGCTATGGTTAACACTATAACTTCTGCTGGAACCCCTCTTTCAAAGACGGAGGGGAGAGATCGCTTCTCAACTTTAAAAAGCTCCTCAGAGAGCCCCTCGGAGATTTCCACTCCATATGCTAATTGGGCCATGGCGTTGGCCTGAGTGTTATGTTCTCTTGGTAAGTGGGCGAGTCTCACATCATCGAAATCTTCCATCAATTAGCTGGCCAACGCATGATATCCAAGCAAAGCTTGGCTAGTCACCTTGTAGTCACCAGACAATTATTTTAAGACCAACATTAAGTCTCCCATGATCAGGGCCTCGTATTCAGCCTGATTGTTGGTACAATCAAAGTCCAATTAAAAAGAATAATGAGTTCGGAATCCTTTGGGTGTTTCAATGATGACACCTGCCCCGCCCATGTTAAATGTTCGAGACCCGTCAAAAGGCACCATGGAAATAAACTCAATGTACCCACCTCGAGGAAATCCATCTCTTCCATTTCAACACAAGGGTGGGCCGCCAAGAAATTGGCCAAAGCTTGCCCCTTAACGGCCTGCTGGGGCACATATCGGAAAGTGAATTCCGCCAATGCCATTATCCATTTTCCTATTCGCCCTCTAATGATTGGGCAAGTGAGCATATATTTTATCAAATCAGTCTTGGCGATTATATGCACCACGAAGGGCAACATGTAATGCCTTAACTTGGTCGCAGTAAAATACAGGGTCAAGCAAAGTTTCTCCACCGGAGAATATTTCCTCTTGGTGGCCGTTAGAATTCGGCTGAGGTAGTATACCGCCTGCTCTTTCTTCTCATCATTGTCTTGGGCTAGTAGACTTCCGATGGAGTTTTCCGCGGCCGAAATATATAGTTTCAAGGGTCGGCCCCGCTTTGGTGGAATGAGCACCGGAGGCTTAGCCAAATATTCTTTAACGGCGTCAAATGCCCTTTGGTGAGTCTCTTCCCACCGAAATTTCTCTTCATCTTTGAGCTTTAGCAAAGATGAGAAAAGCTCAACTTTCCCGCGGAGTTGGCTATAAACCTTCGAAGGAAGTTAATTTGGCCTAATAAACTTTGCACTCCTTTCTTGTTTTTTGGAGGGGGCGCATCAATGATAGCCTTCGCCTTATTTTTATCAATCTCAATCCCCCTTTGATGCACCAAGAATCCTAAGAAATTTCCGGTGGATACCCCAAAACCACACTTTTTTGGGTTCATTTTCAATTGATGCCGCCGCATTCTTTCAAAGGCCGACCGGAGGTCATCCAAGTGGCCTAGTCTAGACTTCGATTTTATAACAACATCGTCGATGTAAACTTCTAAATTTCGACTGATCATGTCATGGAAAATAGCGTTCATTGCCCGCTGATATGTGACCCCGGCATTCTTCAGGCCGAAGGGCATCATCACATACTCAAAAGTTCCAATGGATCTGGGGCACCTGAAAGCTGTCTTGTGGACATCCTCCTCGGCTATAAAAATTTGGTTATAGCCGGAGTGCCCGTCCATGAATGATAAAATTTCATGCTTGGTTGCCCCATCGACTAAGAGGTCGGCCATGGGCATGGGATATTCATCTTTGGGAGTTGCAAGATTAAGATTGCGAAAATCAACACATATTCTTATTGCTCCCGTTTTTTTCTTTACAGGTACAATATTTGAAAGCCATTCTACATATCTAGCTGGCCTAATAAATTTGGCTTTTACAAGCCTTACAATTTCTTCCTTAACTTGTAATTCTACTTCCGCCGACATCCGGCGGGGCGGCTGCTTGAAGGGCTTGAAATCTTCCACCGTTGGTAAGCGATGCCCGACTAAGTCACGACTCAATCCGGGCATCTCGGTGTAATCCCAAGTGAAGCAATCCTTGAACTCTCTCAAAAGCTCTTCCATCTTGGCCCGAAGTTCTGGCTCCATTAGACCACTGATGTAAATCAGTCGATGGTTGTCTTCCGTCCCCAAGTTGATTTCTAGCAAAGGATCTTGGACTTCCGCCCTCGAATCATTCATCTCGCTTGGTGCCAATTCTACTTCTTCGAGCTCAAGTGCATCATCCTCCGGGCCTTCATGAAGAAATTCCACCAAGTTGGCGGTGGACCCATGCTCGGCCGCTCTTTCGGCCCAAAAACCATATAGCCGTCTCAAAGTGTCTTCCACCGCGGCCTTCTTCTCTTCCTCGATGTTTGTATCACTCATTGAGGGAGAAAAAAATCAGCTATAGTGGGATGCTCCCCATCCGCTTGGGCATCATGTGCCCCAAAGTCTATCAACTTTTGGGCCGAAACTCCCGTAGGTCGACCGTTCTTATCTGACCCCGTAAAATAAAGAGGCCCAATGTCACACTTCCATCCTCATGCCAAAATTGTAAAAATTGATGAAGTGAAGAGGGCACGCACATGCTTCCATTGATCCAATCTCGGCCCAACAAAGTATTGAAATGGGCCGTTGTCTCCACCACAAAGAAGGCAGTCATTCTAACTTTTTGCCCCACTCTAACTTGGAGTGGGAGAATCCCCTTTGAAGTCGTGGTGTCTCCCACGAACCCACTGACTGTTGTCTCGGTCGGGATTAACTCATCTGCCCCTTTCTTTAATTTCCTCATGATTGAGGCTGGTAGAATGTTGACCCTAGCCCCCATATCCACAAGGACTTTACTCACCGGAACTCTATCGAAATGAGCTCCCACATACAAGGGCTTAAGGTGGGAGGACATTTTCTTGGTGGGCATGTCATAGCACACCTTCTCGGGCACTTTTTCCTCCTTTTCGGGCACCATGATGCAAGGTTGGGCATTCCCTTCCTTTGGAGTTTCTAGGGCCATCCCAATTTCTTTGGCCCATTCCATTTAGACCATGGACTCAACCTCATCGAACACATCTCCGTCCATAAAATTAGGTTGATTCGGCCGAGCTTCGAAAAATAATAGGAGTGTAACAACCATGACATATACCTCGTCAAAGTCTCCAAACTTTACTTTGACCTTGCCCACTTTTAGCTCATTCTCAAACTTGGCCATCTCTTCATTCCGTTCTTTCTCTAAGTGTTCCATAGCTTCCTCCGACAGATCCTCTAAGTATTCGTCATCCGCATACTCCTCATCTTTCCCATATATCTCTTCATCTTCGGCCGCCGAACCTTCGAGATTTTCCAATGGCTCCTTAGCTTCTTCCTCAGCCATGTGCTCGGCCTCTTCTTCTACCACATTAGTTTCAGCCTCGACCATAACTTGGTCTTCTTCCGCCCTAGGCTCGCTTACTATTTTATAGGGCACATCCCCAGCTTCTTGGACCATGTTTTGGTCATTTTCTTCTTTACTCTCAACCTTGGTGGGTTGAGCCACTTTGGTCATGACCGGGGCCTTGACGACCAGAGGCTTGGCTTTTGGTGGAGCCGCTCTTGCCTTTTGAACCTTGAGAGGTTTATCTCCTCTCCTCTTGGTCGATTCACTAACTTCCACTTTAGAGTTAATTGCCTCAAAAGCCCCAGTCAAATGGGCCTCCAATTCCGGGATTGGCTCTTCCGGGGCCGTTACCACAACTCGGCCATTCACCCATTCTCGACGTATTTTCATCTCCTCGGCCGCGACTGCCTCCAAAGAAGTGACGGCATCGGCCCTGGCCAACTCCAACTCCTCCAGTCGAATTCTGCCTTGCAAGTGGTGGCATATTGCCTTTGAGCCCTTCTCGTTTGAGTCTTGCTCAAAGGTAGGCGAGAGTTTTGGGCCCCTGCTTCTATACCATTGGCCCACCTTTGTATTTGGAACCTTGAAAGTTGGGACACCACTACCATCCGCGGGGCGGGGTCTTGATACATATGCCACATCTCGACTTTTGCCTTCTCCCACCGAAATCCACATGCTTCGGTTTTGGCTTGAATCGAGTGAATCAATGTCTTCATATCTTAGAGGGGCATGTTGATTTCTCCTCTTCGGCTGATATCTCGGCCTCTCATACCTGTCTTGGTACTCATGCAATAGCCGTTTGTTCGACCTTACTTCCATTTCGCCCCTTGGGCTATATGGGCCATAATTCTCGGCCGGACTTGTTATCATCTTCTTTTCAAAACTCCTAGATATGTCCGCTTGGACTTGATCCTTGGTTTGCTTCTTAATCAGCCCATTGGTGAGTTCCTTGGTTGGCCCCTTGGGCTTTGGCGAAACCACTTCGAGAGTCACCTCACATTGGCATCGACTACATAGCACAATGGCCTTTGGAGGTTCTTCCTTGGTTGAAACTTTTGTCTCGGGAACCTTGGCCACCTCATGGTACATTTTAGCCTTGCCCTTCGCCTTAGGATCCGTCGGAATTTCCCTTGCCCTTCTTTCTGCTGCAGCCCTTGCTGAGCCACCCAAGTCCAACCTAGGCCTAGGTTGGTC